TTTATATTATAGTATGTTAGTGTTTTTATTATTACACTTACCGACTTATCCCTAACTGTTGTTAATATGCCCTCAATTCAAACCCTTTGATAAGTTTTCTTGAATCGTTAGTTTAACTATTCTTAAGAGGATCTCCGTCATGCAGCAAACGAAAGCATGGCACGTTTTCACCGGAACCTAAGGAAAATGTCTCTGAAACAGCGTCAACAAGAAGCTTTCAGTAAGGCCAATCCAGAGTTGGTCGAGAAAAAGCCGCTGTCATCTTCTTATAACATCAATCTTCGAACCTCTTCACCAAACACTTGCACTCGAAATGGAAATGAGTTAAACAATTGTTAGCCCAGAGATTCCTCGAAACCCAACTTTTTTCGCATATATTAGTAGAATAATAACTAATAATATAAACTCATTTATTTTCAAGTCTCGCTGTGGTGCATTTAGATGCATTGATATGCCGCAAAATGGAACCATACAGGCTTTGTAGTTAACTTGACATCAACACCAGTTGACCATACTTGGCGAAATATAAAGAAAATATTTAATCATTAGGCCAAATAACTTTATCAGAAACATTAAATATTTTACCTAAATTCATAATTTATTTAAGGAAACGCGGGGTTTACATATCGATTCTTGTATAGCCCCTATGGTAGCAAATAAATCCGTTGAAAAACTCATTAAAGAACTCATAAAAAAATTTATTAATTATTTGTATGGACGGACGAGTAAGAGCTTTATTCAGCCTAGGTCGCTTAAGGTGAATACGTCTTATAGATATGATCTAGTGATAGTATCTCAAACCTAGTTGTAAACAAAAAATAAGTGAGTTGGTCGATTGCTTTGGAAAATACAACTTTGTTTCGTCGACAATCCCAGCACAAATTGTGATATATGAAATTTCCTGGCCTTTCTTGAAATTCACATCTAGCCTGTGATTCAAAGGCACCCGCGGCAATGTGGCCTAGTGGTTCACATTTAGAGGTTAAACGCCTCACTTTCATAGTTCGAGTCCCGTCAGGGTTGCTGATGAGACCAAGTAAGACTCGATCAAAACTGCATCCACTCGGGCCTGAATTAGACCACCTTTTGTGAAATGAAGGCTATGTGAAATCGTTTATCACCTTGAACGAATTAAGGTGAATACACCTCATATCTGTGAGCTTCTGCTAGTCTCGAAAACCTAATAATAACCGAAAAATAAAGTG